GGGCTGGCCGTGGCGGTAGCAGACTCTTCCACACGACTGGGCCGTGATTGGCTCGTTACAGGATTTCGGTTTGGCGTGTTTCCGGCAGCCTGGCAAGCCTGGCCAGATCCGTGGAGGGGGGCAGGGTTGGCGGCGGTGCGCGGGTCGGGGTGGTGGCGGCGCTGCGCCCCGGGCAGCGCCGCGTGACCCCGCCGTCACGTGGCCTTGCACGCCCGCTGCCACGGATTCATCTGGATCCGAATTTTCCTACTTTAAGCGAGCTTCTTCCCTTAGTAAGAGCAGCCGCACGCGGTGAGAAGAGGGAATGTATCATTTAATTAGGATCTGTTCCGTTTTTTTCTGATCTTCGCAGCTCAGCAGCACCGAGCAGCACCACATGGTAAGATGGTCATGATCTTGGTCCGGCCCGGCACCGTTCATCCCTTTCTCCTCTTCATGTTTTTATCAAGGAGTCGCCTTCTTTTGGTCGTTACACCGCGTGGCGCACTTACTCTCGCTTTCAGTCCGACGCGCACCTCGTGTAACGCCCGCGCGACAGAACGGTCAATTCGTTGTAGGTAAAATGACCATACCCCCCACCCCCTCCTCTTTTTGGTCCGAACAGGAGGAGGAGGAGGAGCAGGCGAGGAATGTGACGCGCCGCGGCGTTACTGATTGCTTTGGAAAGGAAGAGTGCGTTACTGGCTTGCCGGGGGGGCTTACCGGGGGCCTTGCGGAGGGGCCTTACGGAGGGGGGGCGGGCCTTACGCTGGCTGCCGTAACACTGTGTTGCGTAATTGTTTTATGATTGCCCATTAATAGCGATTAGATGGGGAGGCGCGCACACACAGTGTAATCACGGTGAACGGATGACCCCCCTTCCTTCTCCCCCCGCCCCCCATTTCACCCCGCCGCTCGCCGCTCCCTCCACCCGTATACTCGCCGCGCTGTTATGCAAGCTGTCACTAATAGGTACCTCGGGAGTACCTTTGCCGCCCAGCAGAGCCGCCCCCCTCTTTCACCCCCTTAGCCTACCTCTCTGAGGTCAGCCGTGGCCGTAGTTAGTGCTTTACAACAATGATGGACACCACATCGGGCCATCCGATCCGAGTAGCCGTAGTATAAGCCTTGCGCCGCGCCAGCGGCCACACTTCAAAAATATCCGTTTAATTTTTAGTTTTCTTCCTCTCTTTTCTGTACGCGCGCATCACACACAACTTATAATCGAACAATGCAGTAAAATTTTACAACGTCGTGGCTGGACCGACACGGCCGCCGCTTATACCTCCCGCCTCTCGCGCGCGTTTCTCCCATTAGGAGGGGCCATGGCTGGCTATCGACCAGCAGTGATGGTCATCTTGTAGTCCGGCGGTGTCCGCCCGAAAGGTAGCTACTAGTCGTCTAGCGACGACCCGGTATGGCGAGTCGCCCTAGAGTCTTTGCGACGAAATAAAATCGAAGCGGTGATAGACGTTCGCAGCCCCCCCCCCTCCATCCCAAACATTCCTTGGTGAAATATTCAGCTGACTCATCAGCGGGCCGCCGCCGGGGGGGCCTTATGAGAGGACAGTTCTTCAATTGCAGCCCCCGCCCTCCTCCCCGCCGCTGCCCATCTCTCCCCCTTTTCCTTCTGGTCGCCCGCGCGCCCAACGCTCACCCTATTGGAAATCTTTCAACCGAAATCGACTTATATTTCCAGACCAATATCTATAATTGTTCCCCGCCCATTCTTCCCCCCCCCCCCCTGATCGGGCTGGCTGGCGCCCTGGCCTGGCGCGTGGGCGCGTGGGTGACACAGCAGGGCGGCGCCTTTGCTGCCCATCATCGTCGTGACCGCGGATAATTCGGCCAGACAAAGTGGCGACTTTTTTACAACTTTACTTTTGGCTTGTCTGCCGCGCCCTTGTGCCGTGTCGTGGGTTAGGGTAGGGTACTTTCAGCGTCCGAGTTTTCCTCACCCCCTCCAATGTCCCCTCGCAACCTTCCGCGCGCGAGGGATTGAATTAGCGACAGCCATGTCAAATTTTCAGCGTTGGACTCGCGCTGTCCTCGGGACCTTCCCCCCCCCCCTTTCCCCCTGTCTCACCAAGGGAGGACGGCGCTAGGGGAGGGGGTGGGGGGAGTTTTACTAGGCTCAGACGTTCAGGCACGGAAACCAATTTCAACTTTGGTGCGCGGCGCACTCATCTGAAACTTTTTTTGTGCGTGGATTTTAAAGCAATTTCGCACGCACTGTCGTGTTCTCTGCTTCCAGTTTCGCTGTGAAAAATTTGTGCGCTACGCTGATTTTTTTCATTTTTGCCTGCGAGACGACAGACTCTACAAGACAGGTACATAAATGTCAGCCCGAGTATTGAATACACTCTTAATCAGGAGGCACAACGTTGTCCTCTGAAAAGCAACTTATCTTCTTTAAGCAACCCTTCCCCTGTTGTGAAAGGGTGTGATGGTAAATCTATCGGGCGATTTTGTGTCTCTTGGAGTGAGTCCGACCGCCATAGCTAGCTATGACTAAGAGCATCAGAGAGAGGGGGGGAGGGGGGGGGGGTTATAGGCCAGGCCAAAAGCTGGGCCATCAGGGAGGAACAACGGAGTGGCACAGCAGCCACCCCACGGCCCGGCGACGGCAGCGGGAAAACTTCGCCACTCATTAGCCGAGAGTTTGGGCGCGCGGGCGCTTCTGTACTACAGCTCCCGCCCCGTCCGGAACGCGGCTCGACACGGCGGGGCGAGGGGGCAGCAGAGAGGACAGCGCCATGCCGAATTTAAATCAGAGATGGGAGGATGTGCCGCCGGAGCGAGCGACGGCCTGTCCTGTCCCCCTGCACTTCCCTTTTCTTGCTTTTTATTTGTACTGACGTGGATAGCTGGGAGATGAGTTAGACGAGTTGTCCGCGGGGGCTGCGAAGAAACTACGTCATTTTTATATAATAGTGTGACAAATTTAATTCAGCTCATTTGTGTTCAGTCTGAGGTTAGTTTTTTTCCTCCTGGGGAAATTTATTATTGCGTCTCAACAATGTCATTAACCCTTGCCTTAAATGGAGGCATGTCTGAATGAGTATAGGAGGGGATATAGGGTGAGAATCGTCACGTAAATGGCGTAATTATTTGCGTAGACGACCCCTCACGTCGTGAGTCCGAGTCAGGGAGACGTGGTGGCACAAATAACGGCAGTGCAAGTGCAGTAGTGCATGTTTCTGAACTGGTCCAGCCGCCGACCACTGGCCGGTCCCTCCATTCCGTCCAGCGCAGCGCCCATGATTACTTCCTCAGTGTCGCCACACTCCGGCCGCAGCGGCACCCTCTCGACCCCCAACCCCAACCCCCCGCGCGGGGCGGTGTGACCTTCCGGAGGGAGCGTTCTAGTTAGGAAGGGAACCAAGTTCGGTCCAGTCGGCCTGCTCTGCC